GAACTTTTCCACGACATTCTAATTTATTGAGATGCACCTGTAAGCGGGACTGAAAGTATAGCGGACCTTTCCGTTCAGAAAACCAAGAGACCAAGTAGTTTAAACTGAAAGGCTTTACTGAATGAATAAAAAAGTCATATAATCATTGTCAATTAACAAAAAGAACTGTATAATTATACAAACATGACAAAAAAGCAGAAATTAAAATAAGAACGTCCTCTCAGCTGGTGCTTTGAGGTACAGGGCCGCTCTCCGTCTTACTTCTCTTACTGGGTTTAGAGCCGTTTACTGCGGCTCTCTTCTTACTCTCCTGTTCTAGTCTTTCCTGTTTCTTCTGCAAATATGATGCCATGTTGTCAAAGTTCACCTTATACAAGTGCTTAAACTGACTCTCCAGTCCCACAGAACCTGTGAACAGAGGACAAGTGCAAAGCATGAAGTGTTCAGAATAGAAAATCTGAGCTTTAGAGATACATTAACCCTATAAAGCCTACTGTATCATATTTGATACCTGAATGGACTTTTATTTAATATATCAGGCCTTACAGGTTTAAGGGGTCATTTTATACATTTCCCCCCTGAGATACACTTTGATTAACTTATACATATTTAACCCTTTTCATTAGACATTCTGGTGTTTTTTCTCTCTCTCTCTAATCTTCCTTCATATTATTTTGACAGGACAGTTTGTGTTTATAAAAACTGAATTGGTGTCTATAAGTAAATTATGTGCTCAACTCAAGAACTCTGTTTCATTATAATATTTGTCGGATTTCTTACCTTTAAAGACATCCCGCTGAGCTTGTAATGCTTCAGTGACCCTCCTCAGTTCAGGAGTCTCTGAGTCACACAGCTATAAACAAGCAAGATGAGTTCACAGGAGCCGAGTTGACTTCAAAACATGGAAAGAAAGCCACATGACAGCATGTATGTACCTTCCAGTGCTGCTCTGAGTATCGATACAGGAGAACATTCACGTCTTCAGTCTCCAGTAAGACCCACAACCGGCTCTGTGAGTCAAATGTCATGTCGCAAGGAGCATGAGGAAGAGCAAGAGTCTCAGCAGGGCTCAGACACCCCTCTGTCCCAGAATCCACCGTGAAGAGCTGAACTGAGGGGAATCTACACATAAGGATATGATTTTAACCATTTAAATGTATGATTTGTGTGTAAAAGACACTTTCTAAAGACTTGTGTGTTTCCATTTTAACAAAAGAACACTGTTGTTGTCACTGAGAGTCTCTCAGAGTCCAGTTATGTCTGAGAACATAACCAGAAATCTGCAGAAATGAAACACACCTCTCACACTGGACAGCTACACGTCGTCCATCCGGTGAGCTGATGATCCTGCAGACAGCAAACCTCTGAAGACCGAAAGAAATATAGTCACAGTGTCTCTTTAAAAGAGATCGGGGTCAATTACAAAATATACACACCTGGATCTGAATGGAAATAAACACTATAGCAGCGGTTCTAAACTTGCTGAGCTTGAGTTGTCAAAACCCAATAACTGAAGGCACCTCCATATATACCATAGGCTAAAACATTTCTTCCAGTATTTCTGCTGTAATAATGAGAAAGCCGTTTGTTTTCAAACTCTTTTATTAACACAAACTAGGTAGATATATTAAATTAATCAGCCAACCACAATTGAGAAGTTAATAGTTCAATAAAAATGTCTTGAGGGGAAAATAGTAAAAAAGAACTTCCATTACAGTTTAATTACCCCCCCAGCATTTTAATTAATTTACATTATTTTGATAATTCAATTTGAAATTTAATGAAACATTAATAAAAACATTCAATGTTATCATTAACTAACATCACGTTTTACATCGTTAATGTATATTCTTGTAGTTAAAATATCACGATACTTTGATTTATATATTTTCATATATAAATGAATATACCATGCAGTGATGTTTGTAAATTACTAATTAAAAAATGTGGATTTTCTATGCATTTTCATCAAGTAAAAATGTCTTCATAGTTTGCATCCCTCAAAAAAATATGCAATTCTTCATGTTTTTTTTTTCTCTTAAAAAGGATTTATTGTACATATTGCTGTGATTTGTCAAACACTCACTGTGCACAAATCTGTATTTATAAATAACATTTTAAAAGTACCTAAAAGCAGTCTTCTCTAGACTTATTTTCTTTTACCTGGAGAATTCACCACCTCACTTTCTAGCCCTGATTGAGCGCCTGCAAATAATATTGCCACTGCAATATTGTGAATTCTGCATACCAAAAAAACAAAGGCAACCATAAATTACATAATATATTATATGATACATAAAGTATAAATTATCTAAATTATTTGTTTTAATAATTAAAAAACAAGTTAAAGCTCTAGACCCCAGGGGTCCACAGCCCTTATATCTAGGTTAATATATAATGTAATTTTGTGGGATTGTAGTACACATTATATGTATTATGTGCGTGAATGGCTCATTGATAACAAATGGACGGCAACTTTTCTGTGTCTGTGTTATCAGATTCAAGGGTGAATTGCCTCAGGTCAATGCTGTGTAACCGCCGGCCAGTCTCATAATGCCAAACCTTCATTGTTTCATCCTGTGAACACAACCATGTCAGTCCTACCGCATTAAGACACTTACAACACCCTTATAATCACTATCCCAATAGAATATTACAGTAAAACAATAAAGGTAAACTGGAAAAACACATACTCCTGAATCAGAAAGAAGCCAGTCAGGATGTCCCGCAGGCACAAGCAATGCACTGACAAATCTGCATGAGAAAACAAACATGTTTGAACAAGTGAGAACAACATATGAGGTTGTCACAGTCCACACTTACTCTCTGCGCCCTAGACAGAAAGCCTGAATAATGTAGGGTGACCGCCGGAAACTCACTCGGATCTTCTCATCTCAGTCTGCTGTTATGATATATTTATCACCAGGAGAAAGTGTCTGTAGAGGAAAATACAAAAGTATCAAATATTAAACTTTTAATCTTTTTGTTTGGTTTCAGCACTAACTCTCACAATGAAAACTGCCAATGAAAAGCACTGTTCTGCTGATGTATATCATACCACATCTAATAACATGGAGAGATGTCCCAGCTTCAGCTCTCCTGGTTTGCGTGGCTCCAGAACAGAGAATGAATAAACATCAACAGACTTATCAGCCACAAAGACTTCATCCTCAGCCTAGGGTAGAGTAAATAGAAGAGACGTGCACCGCCGCACAACCCACCTAGAAGAAGACAATCATAGACTTACACTGAGC